CACACACGGACACGTTGCCGTATCTGTACTATGCACTTAAAGCGCATAAATTGCCCCCTGGGCTTCGCAGTATTGTCGGCGTCACAGAACGGAACAATCTCTCTCTGCCGCAGCAATCTCGATCAATGTCGCCATCTGTTCATGCAGTCCACCATCGACCTCCCCACAAACCCTTGGCCAGTACTACCGTCGCTTCTGCCCGCCTCAGCGTTGCATTACAAGGAGTCATTGAGACTCTCCGTGAGAAGGATAATCTGTTGTATCAACAAAGTGGTGTGAGACGGTGCTGGATCGTGCAAAGCGTTGAGCAGGTGATGCTTGATCTCAAACGTAATTCATCTTCTTTTCGTGAGCATGCTCCTCGCACTGTTGATTTCACAACTATGTATACCAATCTTCCTCATGACCGTATCTGTCATAGTGTATCAAAAGCGGTTGAGGAAGCCTATACATATGCCTTACAACAGCACACACAGGGGCGCACACATCCTCCTACCCTTAACATGATTGTTAAAGGGCCCCGTCAAGGGGAGTGGATGGTTGATACCGGACCCAACACCTTGACCGTTTCCCAAATTCTTGAACATCTACATTTCATTGTCACAAACACGTATCTTTATGCAGCGGACGGCACCTTGCGACATCAGCTGATTGGCATCCCGATGGGGACTAATTCTGGTCCGGAGATAGCTAATTTGACGTTGTATTGGGATGAGACTCGGTTTGTTGACGACCTCCAGCACCGTGATCTTCGCGCAGCTCAACGGTATGCCTTCACATACGGCTTGATCGATGATGTTCTCTCATGGGGACATCTGCCACCACCGTCAGAGCATTATGGCCTTGAATGGAAGGAGACCACAGCGCCTGATGGCTCTTGCACATTCTTGGGTGCACGTCTCCAAGTTCGCCCTGACGGTTCCCTGCGTATGAGTGTCTTTGACAAAGCAGCTGAATGAAATTTCCCTGTTATTCGTTATCCTAGTGCTACGTCTAATGTCCCTGCACACCAGCCAGCGGGAGTGTTTAGTGGCCAGCTTGCTAGGTTCGAGTATGTCTACAACAACTGGTATGACTTCAAGACTACAGCAGCGATGCTCACACGCCGTATGCTTTTTCGCGGGCACTCTCTAACACCGCTTGCGAAAGGATGGACTTCCTATATTCGTAAACGTCAACACATGTACCCTGCCCACGTGACCCGCCTCTCCAGCTGGTTCCGCATCATGCTTCGATGGTCTATCCATCACCTGCTTTCTCGGGTGTCCACACACTGTCCTCGGACTACGCCTGTCACAGCCCCTTCTTCATCACCGGCGCCTGTCACACCTATCACAACCTCTTCTTCATTACCTGCATCTGCTGCACCTGCGTCCTCATCAGTCGTAATGACCCCTTCCATGTCGTTTATGACCCTTGCTACCCCTTTTCGGTTCGCAGCCTCTTCCCCATTGGCCTTGGCTACTTCTACAATTGATTCCGCGAGAGCAACTCGACCCGCAGCTGCTGTGTCGCCCTTGGTCTCGGTGTGTTCCTCCATGGCATCCGTGGCCACCACGGCTGCTGCGTCGCCCTTGGTTTCGGTGTGTTCCTCCATGGCATCCGTGGCCACCCCAACTGCTGTGTTGCCCTCGGTCTTGGTGTGCTCCTCCATGGCATTTGTGGCCATGCCTGCATTACCACCTGCAGAGTCCCCTCTTCAGGTCTCACCTGCGACTGCCCCCCCTGTGTCCGCTTCAGCCACTTCACCACCCCTGACTTCATCCTTCTCATCTTCACCGCCTTTACTTCCCCAAGTTTTATCTCCGTTTGTTACCCACCTTCCGACTACTGTACCACCGCTGTCTTCACCACTCTTACCTCCCCTGGTTTTGTCTCAGTCCGCTACCCCTCTTCCTAATCCACAAACCACCTCGTCCACATAGACTCCGTCATCATGTTCTTCCCCTGCAGAAAGCCCACTTCGCCGTCCTAGACGTCGGTTTCGACCTACTTCCCAGCCTCACCTTACTCCCCTTTCCTCCATCTTTGTTCTTGGACGAAGAAGAACCCGTTCATTCTCCCCACCACGACCCTCCCCAACATCCCGTCGTTGTCTTTTGCCGCCCCAAGCGTCCTTACCATGCCTGCAACGCTCTTCGACTGCAGATCTTTCTGCAACGCGGCTAACACAAAATAGGAGGGATGATGGCGAGGGACTGTCCGAGGATGAACTTGGCAAGGGGCCTGTAAGAGATTATGTAGAAAATCCCCCTGACCGGCCTCCACCGAATCTGTGTGGCCTCGCTGCTACTAACATCTGCCTACAAGCCTATCATTGGGAACCATATACTCACTCTGATTTTTTTGCCATTGCTTTCAATCTTGATGCTCAAGTATATGGCGATGACCTGTCTTTGCACCCCCCACAGGATAGTGACTACACTCGACATGGGGGATTCAATGTCTCAGTTTTGGAGACTGCTTTGATAAGGCGTCGGCTTGATGTGCAGCGTGCCCCTTCGGGTGGCGACCCGGACCACTGTTCGCGCGTTTGTGCCTATATTCTACATACGCCTGGCCATTACACCGCTCTTGTCCGTGCCTCTGGTTCTTGGGAATTATGGAATGGCGGTGCTATGGTGCAAACAATTACTGCCATCTCTGATCTCGTGCGTCATTACCCTAAYCTGCAACTGTTCCAGGTCATTGACCCTATGGGTACCTCCTGTACTTCCCTGCCCGCCTCTACGCCTATCTCTGTGCCTGCCTCCGTGCCTGTCTCTGTGCCTGTCTCTGTGCCTCCCTCTGTACCTGTCTCTGTGCCTATTTCTGTGCCGGTTTCTGTGCCTGTTTCGGTGTCTCTCCTTCCAGATTACTGACTCTATCAGTACCATATGTACTTCCGTCCCCGCCTCTACAGCTACCTCTGTGCCTGCCTCCACACCTGTCTCCATGCCCGTTTCTGTGTCTGTCTCCGTGCCTACCTCCACGTCTGTCACTGTGCCTGCTTTAGTCTTTATTCCCCCACATACTGCACTAACACCTTGTGACCTCCTTTGTGAGATCACTGACACAGTTACACTTGGTTGTGGAAAACATCGACTTTGTCGACATCACTACAACCATATAATTGTTCGGGCCCGCTGTCGGCAGGGATGCCACCTGTATCCGGATTCTGAACATCCTCTACATCCAGATGCAGTATGTCCTATTTGTGCCTGCGGGCGCTATAGTGAATGCGCACTTAACTGTGATGGTGAACGCCCCACAATCGTCATGGCCTGCAACCAGCATGCCCTCTGTCGTGCATGCTTTAGAGGTATGGTTCATGCTAGCCGCCCTGGCTTCTGCTGTGACGAAGTTGCTTACCTGAATGGTTTTCGTCCTATGGATCAGCGGGAGGGCTGCTACCATCGCCCGCATCCTTATGACAGTTGTCCTATTTGTCGTGAGGGTCTTACTTAGACGTACCTTGCACCTTGACAAAAATGTGCAGGTGCGCTGAAAAGAGTGTACAAGAATGTGCAAAAGTGGGAAACCCTTCACTAGAACTGCAAAACAGTGAAGAATATTGCAGTAAAAGA